CCGGGTTTGTCAGTCCAATGGTGATGAGATCGGTCGTAAGGGTTGAAGCAGACTCACAGTCTTTGTCTGTTGTATAACACTCGTACACACATTCATATAGGATATTTAGTTGTTCACTACAGACCTGGGCTAAATTCAGATGAAATTGATGTGAGAATTATGTACGGTGTTAATATTTGCACGTAGCACTCAAAACGTCCATAAAGTAGCCGAATTTATCTATGATTTGCAAAAAAAATGTGGCCTACACAATAAGTGCTTCCAATAAAGCCAATGCACGATTGACAGGTTGTCACCGAATCTGCACTATTAGCCGTTGCCTTCTGTCTCCCCCTGTTATCCTCATTTTGATGGTTTTAAATGTGCCTAATCATAGTGAACACAGAAAAGAAGAAGAAATTGGACTGAAGGCGCTCTTGAAGGCTTCTTTGCTAGTGATCCTGGATTGGACACCAATATGAGTATCCGCCCGCGTAGTTCAAACGGCGTTGCGATAAGTTCCAAGTGATATTTATTTCATTATAGAAACTTTAACCCTTAGTCTGACGATAAAAGTCCTAACCCCAAATCTCTCCCAATACTAACCCTTCAAACTCTGATCCCTACCTCTCTGAAATGCAATGTAAGTGCATCATGTCCTATCAGGTATTACTATGTTCAGAGATAATGGCTCATTATATTGTCCGTGCAATATATCGTTATGTATCTAACAGAGCCAGTTAGATTCTCCAGTGGGCTTTGACAATGGGAGCATAGGAAGAGCAGTCGAGCGTAGGTTGACATGGCTGCTTTGGCCCACCTTTGCCTTCTCACAAGGTTACTGTGATTCTAAAAATAGGCTGCTTAGGTGTTTTATTGTATCTGGGTGGATTTCAGCGGGGAGGAAACATTTTTCTATTCATCCGAGACTGGTTCCTGAACCTCATCAATAAACAACGAAGTTGATATGCGATTATAGGCAAAACTGAGCCAATGCTACGAATGACTGACAGCGAAATAAAAACCAAATACTAGAATAAGTTGAAATTTTTCGTGTGCTATCTTCAGATGTTTTGGTTGTTGCAAATAACGAAAGCTTTAAACAAAGATGGAAAAGGATGGCGATTCCGGTTCAGAATACAGCAATGCAGACGCTAACTATTATAGTATCGTCTAGTAGGAAACTTCAATATTAAAAAACCTCAACATACTAATTAAAGTTGTAGGAACTAATAAAATGCTATCCTTGTGCATGACGAGAGAAAAAAATCGATTCTACTATTTTTGTGGAGTAAACTTCCTTATTAACAAAGAGACCGTTAAACTTATTCAAAACACAAAAGGCTGTGGCGGGGACAGTATGCTTATTTATGCGCAATCCTTTTAGAGGGTTTGAGAACAGGCAATTAAATTAGAATTAATGGTTTAAGTCTGCGTGCGCATGAATACTCACGAGTAATAGTTTCCTTCCGGCAAAAAACGTGATATGACTGTCAGTCGGAGTTGCACATCGATCAGGTGCCAGGTAATCTGGCAAAAGATCCACTGCCACGGTAGAAAACTTCTGGATTGGTTTGCCGAATGTAATGCAGTTGCGGACATAGCAACTATGTGCGAAAAGCTAGATAACTACTCAGAACGATGATGACAAAATATGCGACCGGAATGAGTAGGAAGGGGGCTAACTTGTAGTGGTCGCTGCTGCCCGACGCCCTCCTAAATCGCGATGCCAAAGGCTAAGTCACTTAGAGTATGGCGTGCCTCGGGCCAGACGCAAATTGACGTGCGAGCGAACGTACGAGCCGCGTCTCCTCCATTCTGGCCTCAATTCACAGTAGCGTAACCTCAATCCATCTGGACAGACCTCAAGGCCGTGACTGCCGCTAGACATCACTTCGGACCTAGCTCACCTCGCGACTTGACGTGCGTTCCGATAGTCAAAACTTCCTCACTATTTTCCTTTCTGCTTGTAGAGAATATATGCTTCCTACTATTCTGGCCTTCCCAAGACTCCTCTCATCTCCTTAAGAACCGGGCCTGAAAGATCGCAGTCGTTAGGATAAACCCTAATTGCCTTAAAACTTCTCGATAAACTCTCTGGTCGGGACGGCCTCATATGATGAGACCCGGCTACACCTTCAAGTGTGACAAAGCCACAAGTCTCGCAAGGAATAAACACCCGAGTGAGCAGTGAACGGCATAAGTCTTGGTTGTCTTGCCTGTAGATACGTAACAAACTTAATAGTCTCGTAGCTCCATATTCGGTACTGGGACGTTGCCCAGGCAGAGCAATTAGCCACGCGGGGAGAGCGCGGGTGGCCAGCAGCGCCAGAGACATAGCCACATAGCCAAGTAACCACTACACCAAGAATTGTGAACGGTGATGATATTTCGACAATTAATTACTCGGACGCGAAACAGCGAGCAAACGACGCATCGTGTAGGAACGCCAACAATCAGTTCGGGGTCTTTTAATTAGATTATGCACGCGGCTACTAGGCTAATGCGTCCTATAAATACTAAAACCCTGGCACCATCATCATCCTTATCTGCCACTGTGTTAGACGGTGTGTTTAAGCAGTAATCCGAAACCTGTTTTTTACCTCACACTTATGAAGACGATTCGACGCCTTTGATTCATACCGTCCTCTCCACTGAAGATATAATAAAAACTAAGCTTCTAAACTTGAAAGAATCGACTTCCTGAGGCTCTGATACAATCCCGGCCAAGCCATTGAAAGAGCTAGCTTCCAAAATAATCAAACCGCTAGCCAGGCCTCATTTGTTACTGGCTGCCTACCTTCTGATTGTAAGACAGCAATGATGCAGGGTTGATGCAGTTCCTCGAGCAGAATCAACTCCTTTCCGATGTCCAACACGGCCTTCGCAGTAGTAGGTCCTGTCTTACGAACCTGCTCTTCTCACTTTAACGCTAGGCCAAAGCACCTAACGAGGGCAAAGTGATGCCTGCTATCTACATTGACTCCAAAAAGGCGTTTGATAGCGTCTGTTATCAACGCCTCCTGCATAAACTGCGCACCGCAGGCGTTCGCGACACCCTCTTACTATGGATCCCAAACTTTTTGACAGGACAGTCCCAAAGAGTACAAGTCGGCCGCCGGCAGTTTTTAAGGCTACCTGTGGTGAGTGGCGTACCACAGGGCTCATTTTTTAGGCCCTAAATCATTCCTTGTTCCATCAACGACTGTGTCAGGAAACTAGACTTGTTTGCTGAAGAAATAAAATTATGTAAAGTTGTTCAAAATAGGGCGGATGAAAACCATCTGCAAGCTAACCTGAACTGATTAGAGGACTGATCAAAGCATTGGCTTGTGCCTTTCAAAGTAAGTAAATGCAACCTTCTTCAAATCGGCAGTTGCAAAGCATCCAGCCCGAAGGTTTATTTCTTAAACGGAACACTGCTGCAACAAGTTTATATTCAGAAGGACTTGGCTGTGTGGATTACTTCTTCAGTCAAACCATCGCTGAACTGTACGAAGACGGCGAAGTCGACCAGATCCATACTATGGCTAATTAGACGAGCCTTTATGGGGTTTGAAAAATATAGCTTTTTAAAAATATTTGGAAGCTTTGTTCGGCTGCACATGGAATTCGCTATGCAGGCATAGAGACCTTCGATTATCAAAGACTGTACCGCCTTCGAGAAGGTCCAGATGCGAACGACAAAAACGCTCAAAGTTCTGGGAAAACTGTCCTAAGAAAGCAGACTTTCAAACCTAAGCTTATTCCTCCTTACTTACGGACAACTGCGAGGGGACCTCATACTTACCTTTCGTATTATGAATAAACTGGATTGTTGCTTTGCCCAGACGATATCTTTACCCAGGCTAATACGCCAACTTTGCGCGGTCATCCCCTTAAACTACGCCCCCGACAAAGCAAGGATCGATGGACGAGAAGCCTTCATCAGTAACAGGGTAGTCTGCACATGTCTCAGACTTT